CCTTCCCCCCCCCCCCCCCCCCCCCAACTCCGTCAAACTCTTGTAGAGCTTTGTAAAGCCAGATGTCTTTGAATTGTATATCCATTGGATAATTGGAGTTTTATTGATTCTCGTTTTGGCTACAATTAACTGTACCTGAGATTAGAGGATTCATAAACCCTAACTACACAAAACTGCTTCCTTCAACTATGCTGTGAACTTTGGAGTGGCTATAAATTAGGGGCATCACAGTTTCACCATTTGCCGCACCCTCAACTAAATTGGTTTTCAACATAACTCCCTGTTCCTCCGCAAAATAGATTAATCTAGAATAGACAGGCTGTCTTCATAAGCATTTAACAGCTTGATCAAGTACATGTTGATCACATTGCCAAACACTCTAATTTCTGATCTTGAAGCTTCAACTTGCAAGATGGACATGGCTTTGATATAACATGGATTCTAATGTAATTAACATAATTTTAGCATCTTACTCTTTCTTTACTGTCTAGAGCTGCCAGTTGTCCCCACCACTGTAGAAAATTTGAATTGTGACTACCCACCACCATGATCCCTCTTAATGACTGCTCATGTTTTTCAGGCTTGACAGCAAGCACGATAAGTTATCCTTTGGAGGTTGCAAGAAAACGGCTTATGGTAGGAGCTTTGCAAGGTAAATGTCCACCCCACATGGCAGCTGCACTTTCGGAAGTTGTTAAGAACGAAGGTATTAAGGGCCTATACAGAGGATGGGCTGCAAGTTGCTTGAAAGTCATGCCTAACTCAGGTGTCTCATGGATTTTCTATGAGGCCTGGAAAGATATATTGCTTGCAGAGAGACGTCCTTTATGAAAATCTTGCTGAATGCAAGGAATTTTGTGTTGAATGTCAACCCACAGCAAGCAACAAGGATCTGAAAGCCTGTGCCAGCTGGTGGGAGAAGAGCTCTGGTGGTGTTGGTACCATATTAATGTGGACCAGCACAATTTCTTTTTTTGAGATGTAACAATGTATAAATAAGCCACATGAAGAGTCGAATTTGATCTTTAGCTTTTGATCCCCCGGAAATCAATCTGAAATTGCATTCCTGTAGACTTTACTGTAATCCTGAAGAAGAAAAATTATAGAAACGAAGTCCATTTGACTATGAAATTGATTGACAGGCATGCAACTTGGAGTTTATTAACTGTCATTGGTTTTGTAACCATTGAATTTACGAAAGGCTTGGTACGGAACATGTTCAATATTGCCCCTTGTATCTTCAGCAGATTGGTAGTGGTGGCTAAACTCTAGATTCGGTATCAATTTTTCCTATCAATTTGCGTGGAACAATGTGCATGCATCAATGGATTTCTTTTGGATTCATGGTGAAGCACATATTTCTTGATAAAATGCTGCTGAGACACAGTCGAGTATAAATGGGGCTTTCTCATTATATAAGAAGCTGACAATTATACATCATAGAGATGGCATAGATCCACAGTAATCATTAGCCTGGAAGAGGGTTAAGAATGTTGTGCATGGTGTGATCTTGCTAAGAAATTGCCCGACGAGCATATAGAGACAAAACAAGCATGATCCCATACAATAAAATTACCAGATAAGCAAAACAGAAATAAACACTAAAGTGGTTTCTCCATTATGAACTAAAATACAAGAGATTACTCATGTAACTGGAGGGAATATAAAACCAAATTCAAACTCTGCCTCGGAAAAATCTTCGTTGTAGATTCCCCTCCAACTCAACCCTGCCCCTCAAAAGGAAGAGAAATGGGAGCATGTTCGACAATGCTTAAAAGTACATTTGTAGAAAGTAAATTTTGTTAGTATTTCAAGTTAATTCAAAAATTATGCTTTGTGAAAGAAATGAATTAAATGTAAGTGTAACTTAGTGTTAAACAACAGCCAAACATGCTCGACCTGTGGGAGCTCACTCCCCTTTTGGGGCACTTGACCTTGGGTTTCAGACTTGAAATCCTTGTTCTTCTTAGGCTCAATGAAGGCACATAGGAGAAATCCTCCAGTGGGCAAAGGTAGCAAGTCTAGCAAGAGAGGACCGATTGTACATTATGTGAATGCTATGATAAGCTAATAAATTTATTTTGACTGTCTAACCATTAATCCTCAACTGCCATATACCACTTCAATGATTTTTTCGAAAGTCATAAAGCTACGGAAAAGAGGTCATATCAAGTAACACAACACGAGTTACACTGTCAATCTCCATAAGAAACGAACTAACAAGTTATTATCTCAGGCAACAAGAACTACAAACTAAGAGCATGTTGAGTGAGACTTACGTTGCCAAAGAGTTTTGAAATAAATTTCTCTACCCACAAAACATGCTTTCAAAAAGTAACTATAAAGTACAACCAAGCATGCTCTTTAACTATTTTCCCAATAAATGTGAGGTTGACTAAGTGAGTTTTTTGTGTCGCTTCCAAGAGAATGAAGGCATATAAGACTCACCCACATATGCAACAGTGACGCCTGAACCACTCTTCCAATGGTTACTGGCCACCATCTGATGCAAACAAAATAAGGTCCAAGATGTATTCTCCAGTCCGGTAAATTTGACAATCTTGAATTCTCTATTAGTAGCACAATTGAGTGACAAACAAGGTTCAGAACTGTAGATAATTGACATTATTCCTCTTTGCGAATGTAGAAAATGAGAACATAAAATAAAGAAAGCTTCAATGAATCTATGAAGTCTTCGATTCTCCATCAGAAAGTAAATTTAAGATTTTCTGCAAATAATGTTGTATTCATTTTTTATGTACAACATTTTGAGGAATCATGTTCACGTGAAAATTTGCTGCAAATTCCCTCTTATACACACAAAATTATTTTGCTCAATTTTTACAGTAAGCATATACCAAATAATGTTGTACCAAGTAATTTTTACAGTAAGCACATGGTCATGGGAATTTATTTGCTTCAATTATCAGCCTATCTTTCGATGCATATACCAAATAATGTTGTGTAGAAGAGGAAATTTACCACAAATAGTTAAAGATGCTTAATTTTCAACCTATAAAATGTTGTTTGTTTTCATAAAGTTGAGTCTCTGAAAAGTGTGTATTGCTTAGAAAATAACCACCTATCCCCATAAAGAAAATGTCTTCATTGTTTTTTAGAATCAATCACGTGACTAACTTTTGAAAAATATTTTCTGTGAAAAAAATTTACAATCAAACACACCCTAATGTAGCAACATTCAAACTTGGAACAAGCATAGAGATTGGAGAAGATGAAGGTTTCGAGAAATTGTCAAATTAAAAGTGGCATGAATTTATGGTATTCAACTGAATGAAATTAATAAGGATGATGCTAGAAACGTGAATGAATATAGTACTTGATACACCTTATTATTCGTCCATACCCGAGCATTATCCTCGATGACTGGAAGTAACTCCCTCACCATATTGCAACTTGATGTCCTCGAGCATTGTCCTCGATGACACATGCTCGAGGATGTGCAATCGTGTGACGACGGTGTTGTTCGCCTGAGGTCCTCGGGAATTCCTCTCCTCGAGCGGCTTGGGTTATGTTGATCCAATAGGATTCCTATCTACTTGGAACTCTAACTCTAGACTACTATTTCGATACTTGACCCTAATAAGGACTTTGTCTTAAGCATAATTTTGGTATTTGGCTAATTCCTTAACCGTACAGGACTCCAACGGGTAAGGATACCCAGCTAGTTGAGTCCTACTAGGAGAATACCACCTACCTCTATAAATACAATAGATGGGGGCATTGTTCAGGTACGTTTTCATTATTCTCCAATTTATAGCCTTACGCATATAATTCCCTTTTTGACTTAAGTATCGGAGGGGCGATGAGAACGCATCTCGTTGCCTTTGTTTCAGGTACCGGAAGACTACGATCGTGCTCATTCAAATCCTCAAGCTCAGGAAATCAACAGGTATGATTTTTGGTAGCATCATTGGCACCATCTATGGAAAGTGCTACTAAAAGCCATGGTTAACACACAATCAGGTCTTCCTCCCTCATCCTGCCGAAGATCAACCGGCTCCTCATGAAGAATCGTTAGGAGTGCCTGCACCCCTGCCAGCGATCATCACAACCGAAGCCTTTGAAGAGCTCCGTCAATAGTGGCCACGCTCACGCAACTGTTAAGTCAAAGAAATTCACATCCGCGTTAGCGTAGGCAGTGCATGGTGGTTTATGGCTGATGCTCGAGCACGACCACAAACCCCGCAATTGACGGAGTAGGAACCTCGGGTATTCACAATATGGCCTCGGGCTCGAGATTGGTTGCCATGGATCTCGGTGAAATTGCCCGGATCATTCAAGAAGGAATTATAACTGGCCTGCAACGGAATGCACGGGGGCCAACGGGTTTCACCCTTAACATTCCATTCACGCCAGAGATATTGTCATATCCCTTGCCCAACAGATTTAAATATCCTCGCATTAAAGAGTATGATGGGACGATCGACCCCATCAACCATCTCAACGTATATACTAAAGTCATGAACTTGCAAGTTGCACCGGATCAGGTTATGTGCAAAGCCTTTCCACAAACGCTGACAAATGCTGCTAGGGATTGGTTCTCGACATTGGAGCCCAACTTCATAGCCTCATTCTCAGATTTGGCTCATAAGTTCTCAGCCTTCTTTGCAAGTAGCAAGCGAATCAAGAAAATCGCGGTCTCTCTCTCATGCAATTGTGCCAAGGACCGAATGAAACCTTACGAGGTTTTATGACAAGATTTAACACGGAAAGACTTCAAATACCCGACCTTCACATTACAGCAGCAGTTTCTGCCCTCACCTATGCCATAAAGTGTGAGGCCTTCAAAATGTCTTTATCAAAGACCCTACCATAGATAGTGACCGAGCTCCTTAACCGAGCTGAAAAGTACATTAATATGGAGGAAACGTTGAATCCAAGGAGAGCTGGTCATTCTCATGAAAAAGGTCGAAAACAAGAGGCAACATATCAGAGACTGATTAACAAAATCTTTGCTAATTTGATAAGGAAGAATATTGAGGCCTATGTTGACGACATGGTGGTAAAAGCAAGAAGGTAGAAAGCCATGTATCTGATCTCGAGGAGGTGTTCGCCACCCTAAGAAAATATAAGATGAAGCTCAACCCAGAGAAGTGTGTATTCGGCGTAGCTTCAGAAAAGTTTCTGGGTTTCATGATCACTCATCGGGGGATTGAGGCCAACCCCGATGAGATTCAGGCTTTGGCAGCAATGGAATCACCAAGGACCAAGAAAAAAGTTCAAAAGTTGACAGGCAGGGTAGCCGCCTTAAATAGGTTTATGTCCCAAGCAGCAGACAGGTGCTCCCCTTTTTCAAAGCTCTCAGAGGTAATCATTGCTTTTAATGGAATGAGGAGTGCAAGAAGACTTTTCAGGAGCTCAAGCAGACATTGGAATCTCCTCCTATCCTCACCAAACCCGAGCCCGGGGATACTTTGTATTTATACTTAGCCATGTCTCAGAATGCAGTGAGTGGTGTCTTGGTGAAAGAGGTCAACAGGGCCAGAAACCCATTTATTACATAAGCAAAGTCCTACTTGATGCAGAAACAAAATACACTTTGGTAGAACAGCTTGCCCTTGCACTGATAGTGGCAGCATGAAAGCTTCGACAATATTTTTAGTCACATCCTATTATAGTGCTCACCAATCAGCCTCTAAAACACATTATTCAGAAACCAGGCGTCTCAAGAAGATTACTGAAGTGGGCAATTGAACTCGGAGAATTTGACATAGAGTTCAAGCCCCGTCCATCTGTCAAAGCTCAGGCCTTAGCTGACTTCATTGTAGAACTCAACTCAAGGCCTTGGGGGCCAGATGGTAGCTCGAGCTCTTCCACGGGCGTGTGGCAAATTTTTGTAGATGGAGCATCAAACTCCTCGGGATCGGGTCCAAGGGTCATAATCATAAGCCCGGTCACGCTCATAGACATTCAGTGTGCACTTAGATTCGAATTTGAGGCAACCAATAATGAAGCAGAGTATGAGGCCGTCATCATAGCCATGGAACTTGCCATCAATCTCGAGCTTGAAAACATCAAAATTTACAGTGACTCCCAGTTGGTGGTTGGACAAATTGAAGAGACGTTCGATAGGAAGGACGAGAAAATGAGCTTATACTGCTTGAAAGTGCATGATCTCCAGAGAAAGTTCAAGAGTTATGAAATTGTGAAAATCACTCGGTCTGAGAATTGTAAAGTTGATGCCTTTTCAAGATTGGTGTTCATGGGGATATATGGGCTTAACAGGACAGTCCACATTAGAATTGTAACCGATCCTAGCATCAATCAGACCATAGGTGTCATGGATATTGATAATGAGTCATCGTGGATGGATCCAATAGTGGACTTCATAAAACATGGCAATCTTCTAGAAGATCCTCGAGCAGCAAGAAGCATCCGGTCCAAAGCTCCAAGGTATTGCATGATTGAAGGAGTTTTATTTCGCAGAAGCCTCACACTTCCATACCGCAGATGCCTTAAGCTTTTCGAATCATCCCAGGCCCTAGAACAAGTTCATGAAAGAATATGTGGGAACCATTAAGGAGCTCGAGGATTAGCCTTCAAGCTCATTAGGTATGGATATTATTGACCTACTATGAAAAAAGACACCCAGGAATATGTCAAGAAGTGTGACAAGTGCCAGAGATTCGGCAATATCATCCACTCTCCCGCAGATGACCTCACAGCATTAGTTGCACGGCCCCGTTTGAGCAGTGGGGAATTGATATCCTTGGTCCCTTTCCAATAACTAGGGGGCAATTGAAGTTTGTGACTGTGACTGTAGAGTATTTCACTAAACGGGTGGAGGTCGAGCCTTTAGCAACAATTTCAGAGCCTAAGTTGAGAACTTTCTTTTGGAGGTCCATCATATGCAGGTTCGGAATACCGAAAGTCCTCATAACTGATAGTGGCAGGCAGTTTGACAATGCACAATTTAAAAACTTCTGTTCCAACCTAGGGGTTGATCACCGTTTGACATCGGTTTCCCATCCTCAAAGTAATGGTCTTGTCGAAGTGACCAATCGAATTATATTGCAAGACCTCCGTACAAGGATCGGAGATGCAAGAGGTTCCTGATCTGACGAGTTACCTTCCATACTTTGAACATATAGAACATCCCACAGAACCGCTACGGGGGAAACCCCCTTCATGTTGGCTTTCGGTATTGAGGCCACCATCCCTATTGAAATCAGGTTGCCCAGCCAAAGAAGACTTGAGCCTGATGATGAAGGACGCACCACTGAACACCTCGACCTCTTGGAAAAAGTCCGTGATCGGGCAGCTTTAAAAATGACCTCTTACCAAGATAAAACAACAAAGTATTTCAATAAAAAAGTGAGAGCGCGGAGATTCAGAGCCGGAGACCTTGTGTTAAGAGGGACCCAAGCAACAGGTCCTGCCCCGGGCAAGCTAGGACCAGTTTGGGAAGGGCCTTTCGAAATCATACGACAACTTTAAGGAGGTGCATACAGTTTAAGGGATACATCAGGAAGGCCACTTCCAAGACTATGAAACGCCGAGAATTTAAAAATATATTACAAGTAACTTGTTCTTCTAGTTTTCAGTAGTCAGGCCTGCGTGTCAACGTTCATGTTTTCAGTTCTCAAACCTGCGTGCCAAGGTTCACGTTTTTAGTTGTCAGGCCTACGTGCCAAGTGTATTTTTAAAAGTATAATAATAATTAAGCTATTCATCAAAATGTGATCTCGCTACTAAAAAGCATTGCCCCGAGCAAGCACTTTAAAACCCTTGCCCTGAGCAAGCACTTTAAAAGCCTTGCCCCACGAAGCACTTGAAAAGCTCTACCCCGCGCAAGCAACTCAAAAGCTTTGCCCCGCGCAAGTACCTCAAAAGTCTTGCCTTGTGCAAGCACCTCAAAGCCTTGCTCCTTGCAAGCACCTTCAAAGTCTTCTCCCGAGCAATAATGGAATAATGTGTATGCTCGAGCTCATCACATTATTACCAAAAATGATTTTATAAAATTGAGTCCTCGAGTTATATATGTGTATGCTCGAGCTCAATGCGTTATTACAAAAATGATTTTATTGAGTCCTTGAGATGAACACGTGTATGCTCGAGCTCAATGCATCATTACGAAAATTATTTTAAAAAATCGAGTCCTCAAGATATGTGTATGCTCGAGCTCATCACATTATTATCAAAAATGATTTTCTAAAATTGAGTCCTCAAGTTATATATGTGTATGCTCGAGCTCAATGCGTTATTACAAAAATGATTTTATTGAGTCCTCGAGATGAACATGTGTATGCTCGAGCTCAATGCATCATTACGAAAATTATTTTAAAAAATCGAGTCCTCGAGATGTATGTGAATGCTCGAGCTCATCACATTATTACCAAAAATGATTTTATAAAATTGAGTCCTCGAGTTATATATGTGTATGCTTGAGCTCAATGCGTTATTACAAAAGTAATTTTATTGAGTCCTTGAGATGAACGTGTATGCTCGAGCTCAATGCATCATTACGAAAATGATTGTGAAGTTCAGTCCTCGAGATAATTATGTTGGTGGAGCATGACAAAAATAATGACGTCATAAAAGATTGAGCATTCATTTCAAAAACTTAACAAAAAAGAGTCGAAGTCATGTACGGCCAATTGCCATTACATTTACATCAAAACAAAACGTTGGGGTTTAGGGGTCGGGATTGCCTAATCCTGGTCCTCGTCTCCTGGAGCAGGTCCTTCATCCTCGAAGGCATCATCGTCGTCCTCGGTTGCACCTTCCACATTCTCCTCGGAATCCGAAAGCTCGAGACTCTCAGCAACCTGAGGGATCGTCTTGAGCTCCTCAGGATCAACCTCGGGCATCTTGGCCCTCAGAAAAGCTCAAGCTTCCTTCAAAGCACGAAGGTACGAGCCTGAAGTGTACTCGCCCTTCAACCTATCCATTTCCTCGGACTTTTCAAAGTCCTCGATAGCGGAAACTCGGGCCCCCTCAATCTTGGACTCCATGTCCCTCTTCAGCTGCTCAAGCTCTAGCTTCAGCTCTTTGGCCTCATCCTTAGCAATACCAATCTCATCCTGAGCCTTTCTCAGCTCGAGCCTAGCATCATCCCTCTCCTTCAAAACTTGAGCTCGGGCAACCTCGGCATCAGATAGCTTTTTATCTCGAAGCCCAACAGCCTCGACCAGTCCAGCCATCTTGTGGGATTCGTCCATCCCTTGCAGTGATAGCCCACGAGCAACGCTGAGTGTCTAACATCATAACATACAGAGCATAAAGACAGGAAAAATACATGAAAAATTCACACAAGGAAATAAAGTCTTACCTTCAAAGTAAGGAGCTCGAGAGCTTTCATTCCCTCGTCGAATTCAACGTCACCTCGATATTTCCCCACAATGCTCGGGACAAGATGGCAACGCTCAAAATCCTCAATGATTGAGGCTACCGGTGGAATGGAGTCATCCTCAAGATCAACAACCTCAGGAGTAACCCGAGGAGGAAATGGCCTCGGTGGCCTAGGTGACGGTCCGGGTGAGTCCCCCTGTCGTCGTTGTGAAATGGGGCTTGGAGGTGGAGGCCTTGACGTCGACGATTCCTCGTCAAACACTTCTTCTTCTTCATACTCCGGTTGTGACTTTGGATATTTTTCCTGAGATTCCAATCCCTGCTGCTTGTCATAAAATAATGCCAAGTGACGATATAAACAAGAAGAAGGGAAGGGGGAAGGGATATTTATAACATACGTATATAAAGCATGTTTAGCTAAGCTCCAAGAAGTAAAAATTACTTTTCTGCAACTTTTTGATAAAAGGGCAATTATCCTGGCCAGCTTCTCATTAAAATCCACTTACATTTTACGATTAGATATACCAAGGTCTGTTATATAAAAGGCGAAAAACACCATTTCCTGGGGATTGATGTATTGCACATGAAACACACTTACCGGCTTAGAGTTTGACTTTGATTTGTTGCTACTGTGGTTTGAGACCGAAGACTTCTCTTTCTGTTGTTTCTTTGCAGCACCAGTCACAACTTCAAATACTGTAGGGAGTTCATTGATCATGTTGAAAAGCCGTTTCCTGGGAAACAAAATTTCAAATTTGTTTCATAATTGGAAAATGAGAAAAAGGAACAATGAACTTTGACTAAAATTCAACTGTAATAAGGAAGATGCTTAAACAGTATGTCGAAGGACTAAAATCATTTGCATCAACTGTGTATGCTTTGATGACTGTGTTGCTATTTTGCAGCAAGTCTCTAATGCCCAGAGAAATCATTCATCACCCCCCAACCCTTTTTCAAAACTAAAATTATATAAACCTCCTGATTTCCATCCACACAACTATCTTTCATACAACACTTGGAAACATTATGAACTTGAGAAGCCAATGCATAACGCACAAACAGAATCTAGCCGTGTTTAGAAGTTCCAATAATGAGCATGTTTGGCTGAGCATAAAACAAGTACAGCTTTACGAAACATGTTTAGATAACTTACTTTATAAGCAAAAAAAGGTTACTTTTTTTTTTCCCCAAAAAAGTAGCTTTATTTTGATCTCAAAATAAGTAACTTGCTTATTTACAATTCTCATCAATAACAAAAATATTTAGTTTAAAGGTTAATTATGTATAACTTTTTAAGCTAAACCAAATATTTTCGAAATAAAGACAGCATTTAATATATACCTGTCAGCTTTATCAAAACCAAATCTAGATCCAAAATAAAAGGCAACAGCAAGCAACCAGGCATCACTGTGAACAGCAACCAGAGATAGCCAATCCTTCTCTTGCATACCGTCTCTAGCAAAATTGATCCCTAGAGCAGGCTCAGGGAGTTCTGGAGGTACTTCTTCAGCAGGCAAATTGACCTCCCACTGCTCACTAGGAAGTCCATACAAGCACAAATTCTCCTTCCCTATAAAGCACAAGCAGCATAAGTACTTAACAATAATAAAAGCATGGGTGGAAAAAAAGAAAACAGTTTGCAAAACATAACATAGTTTCCAAGTGGAAAGGACTAAAACAACATAACTCACCAGCACTTGTTTGACAGCTAGAGGAACAAATGAATTTAGAATAAAACCACCATGCAAGTATACTTTGGCAAATGTGAATACCATAGTGCTAAACATGGATGTTGCAACATCATAACAGATATTAGTTGAATGCAAAGCAATGGGAAAATATCTTATAGGAATCTTCTAATGTGAATGGCACAACAAAAAATGGATAATGACTAAACTGAGACTGGATATCAAGTTTACCAATTTTCTAAAATATAATTTTTCCATTAGATACTTATTTGCTTGGAGATGGTTTACTTTTAACCTTCAAGCCCTAGTTAATAATTTTTCACCAGAAGAATACATTGTATTCTGCTGCGGCTTGGGAAAGATTACAGGGAAGAAATACTAGAAACCTTAAAAATGGAAATATATCCATAAAAAGAAATCATTATCTTGAATCCTTGAAAAAAAAGAATGCTACAAATTGATTTGGACATCTACTTTTTTATTTATTTTTAGTTGGACTTTATTTATGTTTTAGATTTTATTTATGTAATTGGATTTGTGTTGGCCCAAGCCCATTCTACTTAGGGTTTTAGTCTTTACTATTTAAACCTAATTGCGATGTAATTTCATTAGTTTTGATGAATTGAAGAATATTTTGGTGGTTTGTTGCCTATGGCTTCTCCTTCCTCTCCCTCCGCCTCTCCCCCATGAATTTCTGATTCTTCTCCGATTTCTCTCCCCATTCTCTCCGGTTCTCCCCTCTTTCTTGTTTCTTGTTTCTTGTTTCTTTTTTTTTTTTTTTAAATTCGTCCTGCATCAAATTTGGTATCAGAGCCTAAAATTGGGTAATCTTTCATCTCTAATCCAAAAATTTCTTCCTATTTCTTTCCCAAAAACTTGTGGAACAGCACAAACAAATAAACTTTTAGCGTGAGTAGCCGATTTATTATTTTTCCAGCTTCTTAGTTGTTCCCCAAAAAAAATTAAAAAACACTGTTCACATTACTGTTCATAGGCGGAAATTTATACTTACAACGCATTGGTTACAAATTACTAGAAAATTAGTAAAGATCATAATAGTAGCTCACTATTTCAGTAAAAGATCACCAAAATTCAGTCATGTTCCCAAAAATAGTTTAGACTATTTAATAAAATTTAAAACATAGATGTATTCTTTTCACCCGTAACTCGCATTTATTGGAACCAAATACTTCCAAAAAAATATTAGAAGTTGTAGACAAAAGATGCGACCATAATCATGAAAAACGTATAATTGCAGCCCAAACAACGCGTGCAACTTTGACTTTTCAAACAAACCCTTAAAAATTGACACACCATCTACTCGTATGCTTTTATGGCAGAAGTGTGATGGAGTGCCGCAAATATAGTAGTCCTTGATCACCTAACTAATATGTTACATCCCCAGTGCATCATATACTCAACAAACCTAGAATCACAAATTATGGTTTCAATCTCATC